TGCTTGTTGAAGAAAATTCAGAGACTGTCCATCCCAGGTTTTCTCAGGCTGAGTCAGCAAGAACAATCTCCCTTCCCTAGCTTCATGAAAGTAAGAAAGAGCTTCCAGGGAGAAGTAGACAATATGCCGAAGTTACCAAGACTTTGTCAGTCAGTGACCTTGAAGAGAAATTCCTTCCTGGGGGAGTCGGGGTGGTAGGATGCGATATTTCCATCCAGTTCTACATGGGGTGTGAGGAATGAGAAGGCAGGAGAACTATGCGTTTCCTTTAGTTAATAGTTTTTCACTTTTGACTTGCTGTTCAAAGAGTCAACTTTGAAAATACCAGTTCAGTTTAAGCATTTTGGAGCTTTATACATTTAAATTTGAGTCCTCTATGGATTGGGCTACAATAGTGGGCTCAAACATAGCAGTTTTTGTGGGGATGGTGCAGACTGGGCAGTATTTCATTCTGTTATACACAAAGTTCTATTGTAACAGGGTCACTATACATTGGAACCCACTCAATAGCCCCTAACAACATGGATTTGAAATCTGAGTTACCTAAAAGGTACTTTGTCCAAATGTGTTTTGAGTATTTTCATAGATTCTTTTTCTTTGTATAGTTTGAAGTCTTGAAGCAGTATCTTGATGGTGGTGGAGATATCCTCGTGATGCTAGGAGAAGGTGGAGAATCCAGATTTGATACCAATATTAACTTTCTACTAGAAGAATATGGAATCATGGTTAATAATGGTAATTTTTTAAAACAAAAACTTTTTATTATGAATTGAGGAAAGGTTTACAGAGCAGATCAGCAGTTTTACATTCAACAAATCATATACTTTGTTTCATTACAATGATTGCAATCCCTTCCATGTACCATCAGGTAATAGTGTATACCTCTATTCACTTTAACTCTTGCATTCTTCCCCATGTCTCCCGCTACCTTCATCTTTCCTCTGCTAGCCTCCCTATTGTTGTATAATGCCTGCCTCATCACCCATGTTAACATGTGTCTATCCACTAGCCTGTGAATAATTTTCCCTTTCCCCCACTCCCCAGTAACCATCATAGAATGTTTCCTTTATCAACAAAACCTTTTCTTAACTTTTTTCACCAGAGGTCTCATATGATATTTGTCCTTTTGTAACTGACTAATTTCACTCAGCATAATGTCCTCCAGATTCATCTGCTGGATTCTTTGCTCCACATAATTATCTGCACTGAGCTAATTTTATTTTGGGGTTTTCTTTTCATTTTCATTTCTCTTGTGTTAATGTTTACTAAAACTTAACTGATTTTC